AGAATGTGACAACTAATTTTCGTGCTTGCTATGCAAATGGTTTAGACGAATGCGTGGGCCGGCTGTGACGCAGGCTAGCTTTTTGTCTTTAGCACTCGTTTGCTTGTCCCAAAAACCGAGATCCGGGAAGAGGCCATCTGTGGCAACTTCAAAGTTGCTAGAAGAAGCTTGCGCCTTGATTATTTAAAAAGCATGGAGTAATTGATCCTGTTATTTCACAACTCTTGAAAACTCAAAAGCTTGGTAGATTTCACACCTAAATATTAAACTGGAAGTTCAGTTCACAAGGCAGGGCTTGGTAATCGGCTGTTCTGAAAGAAAAATAAAGGAGTTTGGGGGCCGTTACTGTGCTAACCCTTTAAGTCCCATTGTCAAGAGATTAGGATATGAAAATTAATGAAACGATCACCTGAGGCAAAATGGTTTGATCTGTTATCAAATTCTCTAAACTTATTCTTTAAGAAAGGGCTAATATACGGGAGAAGCCTTTAGTCTGTGTTTGTCACACACCACTAAAGACGTGTACGCTTTCTTTGGATTTTCCATCAGTGATTTTGTTACCTCTGCGTCCTGTGTCCCTGACGCATAAAAATTCCCAAAGACGCACAAAAGTTCATGGCATGGGTCCTGTAGGACGCAAAGATCAATTGATCGATCTGAGGATGCTTTTGTAGAACACCCTGTTTGTGTGATTTCTGTGTTTGTTGTTTAACAACGCATATTGATTTTAGTCTTAGTTGTGCTTTACAAAAGAATGTCTGGTCACATAAAGGCCCAAGCATTTTCAATTTAGGACTTGTTGTTTTTTGAACCAAGATTCAATTGTTCTGGAGTGGGACTAATGATTTGTTCGCAAAATGAGGACTCACCATAACTACTTGTAATAAAATCACTGTTCCAAAGGGGAAATTTTTGTTTGCAAAAAGAAAAATTTTACTGGCAAATGTATAGAAAATTTTAAAAAGTGTTTGTAGCAGATGTAGCTGCGTGTAGAGCCCTTAAATTTTTGTGGTAGATTAGTTAGGAGTGGATTTTTATTTTGCATTTCTTTTTTTAGAACAGTCGTTTTACATAAATTATTCGACATTAGATTGTCATAGAACAACTGTAATTTATCACGTATACGAAACAGCAGTGGAGGATGCATTCCCAGGGTCTCTTCATGTGAAGTGGCTTGGTTGGTCCAGTTACTGAGGAATGAGATCCCTCCTCACTACCATGAAATCCTTTTTAAAAATTTTTGTTCAGATGTGAAGGCAAGTACGATTGTTTCAAAACCCTTTGACATTATGATGTTATTTAAAGCTGTCAGGGCTTTTTGCCCAAATAGAATGTAATTTTATGTTACTTGTGGCAGTCAGTATGCAAATTGTGCCGCAAACTTGGATCACTCACACATAAGTGACCATTCACATAAAGTTGGAATAACATTTAAAATAAGTTTATCCTTTTCTGATCTCTTGTCAACCATATTTTACACTGGGCAAAATTATTTCCATCTAAACGTAATGGAAGTAAATCATGCACAGTCTAGTTCCATATAGCTTCTTTTAATTGTTCAGGGTTATGTACAATAAAAAAGATTTATTGTGTGTCCTTAGAGTAGGTTTCAATGTAATATGCCTGTTGGGCACATTTGCCCCTCATTTTTTTTTAAGATGCATATTTTAAAATTTTCAATGCTGTGTTATTTTATTCAGTTTAAATACATTCAATCTCCACTTAGTTTTGTTTTTGTTGACCTCCTTGTTCTGTATTTATATTTCACATGTCAAGCTGGAATGACATCGTCGTATGGTGTGGCTTACTAATTTATTTAAAAGCAAACCTTTATTGTTTAATTTCTTTCAGAAATGTTAAGTGAGACAAAGGCAAGAGGCTGGGGACACTCCGCTGCCGTGGTCTTAAACCTCCAGTTGTGAGAGGCCATGCTGCAGCCTTCACATATTGGTTTAATGTTTTTGGGCACACAGGCCCTTACAGCCAATCCATCGAGGTCCTACCAGATGGGTCCCAAAAAGTTATTGCCAAAGGGAATCCTATGAATTCCTCAGGTAAATGAATTATTTTCTTCTGTTCAATTGACGATCCACATGCATGTTAACTCTTCCTGTGAATTATGCCTGGCGAGGGGAAATTAGTAAAGTGTGGAATAAGCACATTCTGTCTTAAACAGTCTTCCTCAAATTTACAGACATTTCATCACATTGGTAGAAATCTCAGCAAGGCTCTGTTGTTAGTTGTGGTGTTCGTCATTAGAACAAGTCTTTTTTTAGTGACTTGTGCAGGTCTTCTTCCTTTAGTCAACTTGTGTTGTTTTCAGTTTGCTGACTTTCCACCATTGGCACTTTTGTTCTTGTACTTTTTTTGCAACGTTTATATTGTACTTGATGGATTCTTTATTATATTTCTTAAATACTCGAGGCGTTACAAATCGATAATTTCGATACTCGATAAAATCGATTGTAATCGATAATTTTCGATACTAATTACTTGATTAATATCGAAAATCGATAGAAATCGATAGCGGAGGTTTTTGTGATTATCGATTTTGATCGATTTTATCGATTTCTGTAATTATAGTTCGATTTTAATCGATTTCTATCGATTTCTATCAAAAATATCGATTTCGTCAATGGAACTCAGACAAAGAAGAAGACAGAGCTTAAAAGCAAGGAACAAAAGGCAAATGGATATCGTAAGGCCAAAAAACGGGAAATAGTACCCGTTCTTGATATTTCCTGTCAAGGAAACGACGATAAAAGACTGAAAGCAGTTAAAAGACCGGTATAGGCAGTTAAGGACGGACGAGACGTAAAGTTAACCCTAGCCGGTCTTAAACCGCATGCGGTTTGTCGGTGGCTTCAACGTACTGTACTCTGGAGTTAACACATACGCTTTCTTTATCCCACACCTTGAGTCGATAATATAAAATACCTTTAATCAGCCTTAATGTACTGTAAACAAACTACAAAGGTTTTTAAAACTGTAATAATAATGCACTTGTCGCTAGACTCAAAAATTGAAACATGCTCAACGATAACGAGAGAAAAAAAAACGCAAAAACGATGCTCGTTCAGTTTTAGGTAAACCAACTTTGTTACGCCGTGAGACGAGTAAATAGAGACCTTTAGATTGGACTACGAGTGCGAGATTGAGTACGAGTACGAGTTTTCAAACCAAATTCGTCCGCATCATATAACTACTTATCACACCAATATTATCCCTAACGTTTATTTGTGTGTTAGTCAGCAACAGGAAAGAGTTATAGTTCGGGGGATACAATTATATCGAAATTCCAAAGTCGTACTCGTACTCAATTTCGTACTCGTAGTCAAATCTAAAGGTCGCTAATAAGTAACAACTGTTTCACCAAGTATTTGTTGTAAATTAACTTGAGCGAACAGCCAAGAAGATAACACCTCCATCCACACGCCGACGTAAATGAATCAAGTGAGCAAAAAAGGTCATTACACATGAATGACACAACAAAAGGCAATAGACCGCGAGAATAAAAGTTACAATTTGTACGAAAAGAATGCATTGCAAATATGCTCCAACAATTTCCAAGAGAAACAATAGGTGAGAAAGGATCTGGAGAAGTTTCTCTTTTCTCTCATCGTAATAGTATAAGCAAGCTATGTTATTATTCAAAGTTAAGCAGGCTTTGAATTTTCTGCTCTTCTTCTTTCCAATATATCTTGAGGTTGAGTGAGTTTCTCCTTCCTGTAAGTTCTCACGAGCTTGACGGACTTTTGCTATAAGTTCTGGTTTTTTTTTTTTTCGTTGGATCTATAGGTCACATTTAGACTGTCTAACACCTCTTTGAGAAGGAAGACAGTCATGTCTTCTGGTGGCCCCATTTTACGTTTCTCCTTTTCTAACTCTTTCAGTTTCTCCTCCTTCCTCCGAGACTCTTCTTCTTCCTCTTCCAGCTTTGGCAGTAGAATTTCCATCGCCTCCGCGTCTACTTTCAAAGGCCACTTTCTTTCCCTTGAGGTTTCCGAAAGTTAGCAAATGTGTTTTGCATTCACTCCACATTATTTCTTTTGTGGGTGATAACAACCACTTGCTATTTTCCTTTTTAAGATCGAAAGAACTTGAAAGCAAACTGATATTTTTCTTTCGAGTCGTTTCCTTTCTTCCACTCAAAGACAGGAACAGGGGGATTTAGAAAACGTGTCACGCACCAGCCGCAATACCAAACCGCATCTCATACCGAGACGTGGGACCCAGAATGCCGCTATATCCTCAAAATATAGTCCGTTTTCTGATCTAGTTGGTGCTACGAGCCTTTCTACCCGTTCGTAGAAATCATTCCTTGAGACAGCCATCCATCTAGCCATTCTAGAAGTAGATGGCTTATACACTTTTCCCTGCTGAAGAGACAAAAATTCCGCAATGTGATAAAATTCTCCATCATACTCAACATAGTTGGGTGGAACTGAACATTGTGAAGCTGCTGATGTTTTCTCCCGTAAATTAAATCTCCTTCGTCTCTTCAAGTGGAACGTGCCTTCATTCTGCTCGCCTTCCTCCATCATGGAAATATCTGACGCCGTCGCAGCAACTAGGTCCTTATATTGTTCCATCCCTTTTACGTTCCCATGCGATGTACAAACAAAGGCATACGTTTCTCTCTCTGAGTCTGTAGAGAATTTGAGATTTAAGCATGATTCGTGGAACCAGTTGTCGCACCCTGGATAATCACAACCAATCCAGTGAGTCGTCTTTGGAGCTTTAAAGGCAGGATTTGGCGTATTTACAGGTACCCTTCTGGAAAAGATGGCAATGCCTTGGGTCATCATCGTCATCGACATCACCATTTTCCTCTCCTCCTTCTTCTCGGTCAAATGCATTTGACCTTGGGATGGAGGACGCTGCCAGATCAGATAGCGCAAAGGAATAGCAATGTTCGTTAGTCTCAGCAGCAGAACATAGAACATCGTTTTCCACGCCTAGCAATTCTTCTACGGTTATAGTGTCACTTTCATCAGGACCGTCACGTATATCAGCTAAGGCTTCTATTCCTGGGTTGATATACAGTATGTCCCCTGAATCATCTAATCTTAATATGTTACCAGCAGCTAAAAGTGGCAGCATGCCTAGTCCCTCGATGGTTTTCAGAACTTCTTTTTCTGCCTCCTTGATGCCGCTCAAGATTTCATCTTCCACAAACTCTGGCCAAGATGTGCGAGAAACAACTGGAGGCTCCTTAAGTTTCAGCTCATCGAGTTTTGCTATTCTGCCGCAAATGTCGAGCATGTCCAGCATACAAAAATTTGTTTTCCTTTACAAAACCCACGACAGCGTGCAAAAAGTCTTTCACAACTGTCAGAACCAAACGTAGGGGATTAAAAGATTGATCGGGAAGTACTCCGAAAATAATTTTCTCGACAATATAAGCGAGTGTCCCGCAAGCACTATATCGTTGTACGTTTGTAAGGATATAAAAGAGGACTCTATTGGATAATTTGACATCTCTACCCAAGCTTTCCATAATCTGACAAAGCAAACTGAAGACCAAGCAAGCTTTGACCGTTCTTTCACAGTGAGATTTTCATCTGTATATGCACGTAGCATGTTATGTCCTACTTTAAGGTAAACTCGAATTGCTTGACTGCGGTCCTTATTCCACTCGCTCAAGCATTCTCGGACTTCAGGTTGCAAAATTCGTAGCGCTGCAGCCACGTTCTGTTTGTCCCTGACGAAAATGTCACTTTTCCATAATCCACTTTTTAATTTGTTCGCCTCATACAACCTCATTAGATCTTCAATCATGACAAACGAATCTCCTAGAACCAGGACGCGACGCACGTTTAGAATCTGGTTTCTCCATTTTTAATTAGGTGCTTCCAGTCAGGAAACATAACAGTAGGAATTCTCAGGCCATGAACATTCTTGACCACAGAAACAAAACTGAACCCCTTGTGAGATACCGAAATCACTTCATCTACCATGCCATGCCTTTTACTAAACTCATCAAGAAAGTATCTTCTAAATTTAGAGTCTCCATCCGCACCTATTCCGAGAATCTGCATATTATGTTGAGCACCCCAGTTTAATGCGTCCACGAACCAATTCCTCACTGAAGCCCAGTCTTGCCCCTTAACTACTGGTGAAATTGCAAGGGTAAAACTAGGAACGTGCTCTTGCAGAGGAGTCAACACAAACGCATTAGCTTGCCGCGCCTTTTCCTTACTTTGGTCATTTGTCACCTCGATAATATCTTGTGCAGTACGTACAAAAATGTCCTCTTCAGATGCAATTCCTACGATTCGATTGCCTCTTACTCTAAGGCATGGTGAAATTGCAGTAGCATCTATGGCCAGGACAAATGGTCCCGTATAACCAACACGTTGATAGAATGAGGCCGCTATTCCAAACTGATCTTCTGTTAGTTTAGTTGCAATAGGAACCTTGCGTCCGGGCTGTTGCATAAGCAGTCTGCAGACTCGCCCGCCAATTTTTTCCCTGATTATCTTTAGCAAGGCCGGTCCCCATAATCTAGAATAATTGCGAACAAGGACTTTGTGTCGTCATTCCAGCATTTTTTCTCATTTATGTTGTGCGCAAGAAGATCGGACACAATCGAAATGAATTCAGTATTTTTTTGGTCTTTCCTTTCTACTACTGCAGCCAGCTGAAGCGCGATTTCTGGCAGCTGCTGTTTTAGACATTTGCTTTTCAGATCATGCTGTAATGCGCAAATGACATCTTCTTTTACCGATAACTGTAGTCTAAGTTCAGCAATTTTTTTTCGATACAATTCTGATAATGAAGCTTTCTCCGCTATATGTTGAATACAAGAGGTGGCAATGTCTAAACGGCTCTTTTTAAAATTTTCCTCTGATGCTCCTAACAGACACTGGAACCGAAAGGAGTCCCTGACCCTCTGGGTATTGTCTCTACTTTCCATTAACATATTTGAGATTTCCCTCTCCATATGCGACTTTTTTGGACTTTGGACAAATCGGAGGAATGTAATAATTTTTCAGTCTCTATCCTAGCCTCTGAAAGCCGGTTCATGTATACAAATTTTTCGTTGTATACGATCTCTTCAACTGAAACGCGTTGTTTTGAGTTGTCTTGCTGATCCCGCAAAGGAGATTCTGTCATCATCATTTCACTCAGCCTCTGTCCGAACGCCCTGTTCATTTCTCGGTGTGTATTTGCAACTGCCTGTGAAAATAGAAATCAATTAAACATTGGGTCAGATGACTTGAGTTGGAAAACCCTTAAAACATCGCTTAAAAAGACGCGAAATCAAAACAATGAAAAAAAGGGAAAAAAGAACCCACGCTGTATACCTTTTCTCTTTGTGCATAAGACACCATTTCTGCAACCATGACTGTTTTGGCACTTGCGCTCCGAGATGTTGATGGGCTGGGGGAAGACTTCTGTTTGGCGGTTCCAAAATAACTCGTCAGCAGTTTATTTCCTGTAAGAAAGATGTTCGTGCGTGTGTTAAATACGCCACGGTGTATACAGCCCCCCTCA